GGGGCAGTGGGACAGGCCTTGCTGCCTGCCAGCTGCCCTGGGGCCCTCTCCTTCCTGCTCCACATCCCCGCTGCTCCCATTCGTACTCCCCTCACCTCTCCCTCCTTCCCTCCCTTTCAACCCCACTCAACCCCTTCTCTCTCTCCTCCTGCAGGCCATGGCTGCGAAACTGATTCTTCTCATGCTTTTGCAAACCCTCATCCAGTACCCACAGATGGTGGCTGATGGGCTGGATGAGGACACCCGTCTGCGCATGGAGCTGCGTGCAAATCTCCTGGACAGAGAGATGACTCGGCTGCTGCAGGAGCTGGAGCAGAGCAGCCTGGAGCGCAGTGTCAGGGCCTGGGGAACCCTGCTGTGGGTTGCCTTGCAGCAGGAGCACTTCTGGGCTCTGGCTGTAGTCCTGGGCCTTCTCTTGTGGCTGTGGTTTATCCGCAGCAGAAGAAGCCGCCAGCCAGACAACAATGGCGAGGAGGAGGAGGAGGAGGAAGGAGACAATGTTGTGATTGTGGATCAAGAAGACAATGAGGATAGGAATGAAGTCAGAAATGTTGGTGAAAATGAAGAAGAAGCTGGCAATGATGCTGCCATTGCAGAAAATGGCAATGATGATGGAAATGCAGTTGAAGAAGGAGACGATGCTGAAAACGACATTGGAAGGATTTTAGAGGGGCAAATACAGTGGCCCATTCAGGACCTGGAGAGAGGTTGCGAGATGACATCTGACTTAATGGACATTTTCATATCTGTATTTGGACACCTGTTGTCAAACAGTTCATACCCAGTGCCACAACGAGCCATCGGAGTCGGCAGTGCCTTTGAAGGCTGGAGTCCCCGGGAGGAGGATGTGGTGTACAGTGTCCTTGTACCCCTCACTTCTCCTCCGGGGCACACCTTCCATCTGGAGATGGACACCTCAGGGCAGTTACCCGGCAGGAACTTCTTTATCCGCGTGGAGCCGGTGTGCACCTGCCCAAGGGAGCAGCAGGATGACAACGTGCTGTGCTCCCTCCACCACCCAGAGGACGAGCAGAGGAGGAACGAGGAGCCCAACTTCCTAAACACCCTCTGCACTGGCTCCTACCTGGATGTGGAGAAAACTGCCCGCTGGTTCTACCAGTTGGTGAGAGCAGTCTGGGTGATTTTGCCTCACTCCCAAGGTTGGCAATTAGTGCTGCTGCCCTCCAACCGCTGCTGCAAATTCAAGGTGACCAGAGGCACACAAAGCTTCACGGTTGAGATCCTTTTTGGGGTGCAGCAAGGAGTCTCAGATATCTACGTGAGCAGCCAGCCTACAGAGGCCCTCTTCACCCCAAGCACAGTGTGGCCTGAGACCTACGCCGTGGCAGAGATGAAGTTTTTCAGGCACATTGCCAAGCAGGCTCCACCTAACAGTTGGCACCTCAAATACCTGCAGCTCTTGGCCCGTGCTGTGGTGGGCATTGGCTTCTCTACTTATATGATGAAGACCATTGTGATGCACCTCCTGAATACCATACCCGTGTCACGGTGGGGCAGCAGGTATATCCTGCTTCGGTTGGAGGACAGCGTAGAGTACCTACGTTGCTCCTTGTTGGAGAAACATCTTGACCACTTTATTGTGGGCAACCAGAGGGTTCCTGAGGTGATCAGCTTGCCCCTGGAAGTCCAAACTGCCGAGCCACTCAACCTCTTCCATTACCTGGCGGAAAATCCGGCCGCCCACACCCAGGCAATAAGCGAGTACCGTAATCTGCGATACCGGCTCAAAATAATGTTGCTAGAAGGCCACTGAAAGAAGTCTTCTTTCACACAGCTGTGCTTGGTGGTCTCATGGCTGGTCCAAGACAACTGCTTCAAACCACAGGGAAAAAGAGAAGAGGATGTGGGACAGAGAGAGGGAAAGGAAAACCTTGTGCAGCAGCACTCTGCCATCAGCATTCCCCTCTCAGCAGTCTGCCCAGCACAGCCTGCAGTGATGACCAGGGGGGCTACAAAGATGACTTTCATCCTCCTTTCCCCTCCCACTCTCATGGCCATTGTGACCATTTTAGATAGGCCCAAGAATTCTTTCTGGCAGCTCCGGCTGCTCAGGGATCAAGTGAGAGGCATTGCTAATATTCCTAAACTGTATCTCTCCTTGTTCCCTGAAGGGACATCAGTAGGTCAGCATTTTGCCAACTCTTTTGGTCCTGACCAGAAATCTCTCATATATAAATATATATTTTTATTTAATATATAGATTTTAATTAATATAACATAGAAAAATATATTTATTATAGTGCACATACATATAATTTATTTAAATAATAATATTTTATATATAAATATAGCACAAATAAATCTCTCACAGTGTCTCCTATTGTGCCCTTATGGAACACCTTTAGGTCAGCATTGCACAAAGACTATCTTTCTCAGACTGTGTTTTAGCTGACCTTAATTTTCTTACATAGAAATATATCATTTTTAGTCTTTATATGTATTTTATAATATATCTATTTATAATATATATAATATATATTTTAGGTAATTTATTTTATATAATAATATTTTTTATATAAATGTAGCACCAATAGTTCTCTCCTCATTATTCCCGTTGCATATTAACTCCCTGTAGTCACTGCATTCCTGACTAGAAATCCAGGAAACTGCTTTCCCTTTGCTTCAATAAAGACTGCTATTTTTTAATATATAAATACATA